CCAGGACTGTGATCCTGGCGCTCACGAAACCGATGAGCAGCCTGCCGGCGTCGGCCAATACTTTGGCCGACGCTACGGGACAGCTGACCCACACGGCGCCAAGCCCTCCTGGACCGGGGCGGATGGTGCCGACCCTGACGTTGTCCGCGCTGCACCCCGTCTTCTCCCGGATTACAGCGCGGACATCTTCGGCCGTCACAGAGTCGTCCAGGCCCGAGATGCGCAGCTCTGCGCACTTAGTAGGCCTGGCGATCTTTACACCATCCGTGGCTGTAAAGAGTCCCCGCAGCTTCTCGGCAAATGTGTCCGCCGTCTTAGCGCCTTCAGCCCCAGGGAACTCGAGGACTCGAGCTCCCGTCTGGGCGAGGCGCATTCTGACCCCCACCGTTCCAAAATCGTTGGCGAGGCTGTCCCGGGCCTTTTTGAAGACGGCCGCGTAGGACAGCCCGCCGTCCGCCGCCTCCGGGGACACGGTCACCACTACAGCCGCGGTTTTGGGCGGCTGCAGCTTCCGCGGCCTCTTTGTGGAGGCCGTTGCCACCGGTGGCGAAGGCTGGGCTTGGGCTGCTTTTTTGGCAGCCTTTTTGGCCCGCCTTCGGGACTTCTTGGAGCCCCTCGCCTCCTGCCAACCCTCGTTGGAGGGGGCAGGTGCGGAGGGGCCCGGCAGGGGTGTCGGAGTGGGGAGCGGAGGGAATGCCACTCCGCTCCTCGGCGCTGTTCTAGGCCCCGTCTTGGCCGGCGCCTGGGGATGCGCCCTGGCCGGCGCCTTAGCCGGTGCCTTGGCCGGCGCCTGGGTTGGTGCCTTGGCCCCCCTCCTCGGCTTTTGTGGAGCCGATGGAGTCGGGGCAGACGCCGCCGCCGCGTAGGAGACGCGGCCTCCCACTACGGGGAGCGCGGTCGGAGCGGCGGCCTTAGGCCGCTGTGTCGACGCGAGCGGGGGGCGCATACTCGGCGCAGGAGGCAATCTCGCCTCCAGGCCAGCCAGACGTCCGTCCAGCATATTCCCAACTGCGATGAGGATTTCTCGCAGTTGGGAGTCAAATGCCCCTGAGTTGGTGGTAGGGGCAGGCTGGGACGCGGACGGGGCTTCCCGCTCGGGGAGGTTCGCCTGGAAGCGGGCGAACTGAGCGCTCAGCTCGTTCACCCGCTCCGTCAGCTTCTCGTTGGCCACCTGCAGGCGAGAGACGTCGCCCGCTAGGCCCTCCACGACCTCCGACAAAGCGGAGGAGGAGTCCTTAAGGGCCCTCACAAACGAGCCCTTAAGGTTCACGGATTTGGTGGCCACCTTGTTGATGACGGCCACCGCCGCTTTCGCCCTCTCCTGCACGGACACGGGAGCCTGGGGGGCATTTCCCCCCACCGGCTCCCGAACCTTGAGCAGGAGATCCGCGATCTCCTCCTCCGCTACGGCCTCGCCGTCCACCCGTACGTTCCTGTACGACTCCGCGTTGGAGAACGCGGAGCCTGACGGGATCGCGACCGAGGCCGGTTTGCGCGCCCTCCCTCGGCGGCTGCTTGCCACCTTTGGTGGCATCATTTCGCTGGACGTGTCGGTTTCCACGTCCCCTGAGCGTCCGCGTTTCCGGCTGTCGCTCCGCTCCGCTTCCATGGCCTCCGCGCCATCCGATGAAGCGGCGGATCCGGAACGCAGCCGATCCGATGCTCTTCGGCTCCCAGAGACCAGCGTCAGACTGACTTCTGGGAGCCCCACCGAGATAGGCGTTCCCGACGCTATCTCACCCTCCGTGGATGAACCATCCACTCCACTGTTCCTCTTCTCTTGCATTTCAGAGTCCGTTTTGCTTGCCTTTTTCTTTTGTGATTGGTTTTCCGATCGTTTTTTAATATTTTTGTTGATATTTTCCATGATAAATCCCACGAGTGGGGGAGAACTAAAGGTCCACCCGGGCAGAGATCCCCCATTACCCGGGCAAGCGTAAGTTTTTAACCCAACCGAGGGGTCCGCAGGTACCTCGGCTTGGAGTGCGCTCGCGACTGAACTTCCCATCAGCCATGCATCCCCTGGCCACGCACCAGAACACGGGATTCGGGGAATTTTTTAGAGAGGTTATCTTCCTCGCGGTCCGGGCGGTTAAGCCAAGACCCTCGCCCCCGATCAGAGCCGCGAGACTTAACCACAGCGCTCTTCTCGGGATTACGATATGCCGACGGTTGACAGGGAGACTACGTCCCCCTGCCTGCTCGGTGGTAGTGTGAGTACACGCCGAGCCCGTCCTCCTTTCTCCACCGCTGTCAGCGGAGAAACTGTGGCCCCTACAGGGCCCCGCCATCAGGTTTTTTACCGAGGTTTCCTCCTCCATGCTCCGAAGAGCGAAGAGCCAGCAGGGCAACCGGCAGACACGCCCACCCTGCTGGACCAGGCCTTGCCCGAGAGCCGATGAACGGCTGCCTCTTCTGCTAGAATATTGGCCGCTGGCGATAATCCTCTCCTCCAAGAGGACAAGGAGGGAACAGTACCATCGCCAGCGTTTCCAGGGTGCACCACGAGGAGGTTTTCTAGCCCAGCACCCCTAGCCCAGCACCCCTACCCTGTACTAACCCGTATGGCCACCGTGATATAGTAGGCCGAAACCTCCTTTCTAAGGAGAGGTCTAAGTCAAGCAGTGGACTATTACAGCCTGTTGATGAAGTTTTTAAGATTTTGTTATGTGATTTTTAAGGAGGTATCCATATTATGGCAATGTTGGAAGCAATATAAACGCCCATTTTGTGAATGGGATTCGTCATCGCCGTCCCGCCTACAGATATCCTCGCCGGTATCCGTGAGTACCTGTGTCGATGCCGGTATACGGGTGCTTGACTTCTAAAAATAATATTTGCTACTTAATTTATCTCTTTAAACTTTCGGTATATAGAAAACTGATAACTTCATTTTTTAATTAAATCATCATTATGCGTTTTTCATCTGGTAACGGTTTAATAATCTTTTAAAATAATAACGTTAAGTATAAGCTCAGGCAAGTGGTTTTCTAAAATTAATAAGATCCTAAAAGCATTTGAATGAAATATTGGATTCGAAAAAACTGATTAATATAATTAACCTTTAAAAATGGATCACCGGCTCCATGCTCCTATATATACTGATGAATTGTAATACAAGTGTATTATTCATTCCTTAATTTTCCACTCTTAGGTTAAGGTATTTTTTCTTCAAATAATATTTATAAAAGTAACATTGGTTATTTTTATGGTTTTAACAACCCCTAATAACCTTCATAATGCTTTATTCAGTAACTTTCTCTCAATTGTGTATTCGGCCATCTTCTGGACTATTGCGATACATAATTAAAAGGTCCATTATTATTACTATTATTTTTCAAAAGGTCTACTAGCAACCGAAATTACTAGTATTCCCGTTAACCCCTCCCGCTAAGCTACATTGCTTGTGTTTGGAGTGGGTTCACGTCGGTGTGTTTATCTTCATTTATAAGCAATGGTATTAAGTAAAAGACATATTTGCCTTACAGGTTTATAAGATAGAACATTGTATTCATAATTCGAAATTACCCATTGACAAAAGAATATTTGATTATAAAGAATAGTCTTATAGTTGTCGTATACGATCTGACATCTCACTTAACATTTGAGGGACAACTCTAGCAACGCGCGCTTTTATTGTTCAAATCAAGTAGCGGGCATTTTCGTGTAACAAACTTCCGTCCCTATTTACAAAATTTCTGCCACAGGTTGCAGGAAAATGTAAGGAAAATATTAGATTAATAATTAAAGCTAGTGTTTTTAAACAACTTTTGATCTTCATATAAAAACAATAAGGAAATTATTGAATGTCAATGTGTTAAAAACGCACGTGTAAATCTGAACTGACGTATGTATATTGCTGTATGACAATTCCTGTTGTGAACGAACATTCTGTTGATTTAAGTATTATTTCTTTGTTTTTATGAAGTATTATTTTCTGTGGGCGACAAAAAGCTTTTTTTTGAATAGTTACTAAAAGTAAGACAGAGACCATTTCTCTATACTAGACGCGAATGTGGAATATTTGTATTAATTTTATTCAGGAATGTATAAATTTTTAAATTTTAATGATTTTTGGTTTGACAAACTTTAAATTTTTGCATCAAAAATATATTTTTAAATAATGAAATAAGATAGTAAGTAAATAAGTAAAAAAACGTCTCGGTATTGCTATTGTAAAAAATAACATTACAATGAAGATATAATAAATTTATCAATCACTATACAATCTTTTTTACATATGCAAGTCTTTGTGTACAGGCAATCTTTTTAGGAATTCTGTTTACAAAAACTTTGTTAGTCTCTCTCCCCATGAGACTGTGTGGAGGAGACTTAAAGGATGGCAATGCACTTGTGACTTTTAAATTCTAGGTGTCCATGAGCGGCGGTAGTCACTTAACGTCAGGTGAACCGTGCGTCTGCTGGTTTGCCCCCCTATTCCATTAAAATCTAGAAAACTTTTTTAATAAGCTTCAGTGGTTTTTGCATTTCAAAAAATAACCGTTCAAATAGTAGTAGTATTTACTTTTATAAATTTTACATGACATGGAAATTATTGGTAACTAACTGACCCGCGCAACTTCGTCTGCGGCTCTCAATAGTAATGAATTTTCTGCGTTTTTGAAACATTCTTCATTGGTGCTCCGCTCCTATTGACCTTAGCGTGATGATATATAGCCTATAGCCTTCCTCGATAAATGGGCTATCTAACACTGAAAGAATTTTTCAAATCGGACCAGTAGTTCCTGAGATTAGCGCGTTCAAACAAACAAACTCTTCAGCTTTATAATATTAGTATAGATTTATTTTATAAAATGATTGGTTTTCGTTTTCGATGACGTTTCTAGTCTTGCGCTAGCGTAATAAACATAATTATCCGCAGTGGTTTTTTATAACGATTTATAAATCATATGATTTATCACATGTGATTGTGATTTTATCCCATCCCTACTGTATATAATTTCAAAGACAATGTGTAATAAAGAATTAATTACTTTCAGAGAACCGCAGTCTGGCTGGTTTGGCAATATCTTCCAGAACTGGTTCAACTAATTGTGAGAAGAACAAATGTGTAACTTCATAACTTATTTAACACATCACAAAGATCTGATAGATGTAAGTTTAAATGCTAGTCCTACGTCGGTACCAAATAAATCATAATTACATACATTTTTATTTCTTATTGCCTCATACATCCCTAGTACTTTAAGAGAGAGAGTTTGACTTCTGTAACGTCTTCTTCTGTTTGACGTCTGTCCCCGGCGACACAGGATATATTCCTAGTGCGGGAGTTGTCTTTTTTTAAAACAAGAAAACCAGAAACTTCTGCTACTGAAAACATCCCAAGTAAAGAAATAATCAAGGGTCTGAGTTAAGTGAAGATATCTAAATTACTACATAAGCCGAAATTATGTACTTACCAACTCTTTACGGTAAGGTCGGTCGTAGGTGTCCTGGAAGACCTTGATTGATTAGACATGACATCTTTGATTCATGAATTGTTTGGTCTCGTATATTCTAAGACTTTTAATCTTATAATCTTCTAAGCCTTAGAGCGTGCACAGTAAAAGTACAAAGACATCGTTATAATGAACAGATAGACTTCTCTTCTCTTTTATCCAAGTGAGAGGTCAAGCAAAATGAAGGCCACGCGTCTTTACGAGTATCGTGTCAGAGGGTCTTGGAAAGCGCATATATGGTACACCTCAAATCCAATTAAAGTTTATTTGCTATGAATGTAGGTACATCAAATTACAGATGGAATGGTTTAAAATGATCCGTGTACATTCTGACTTAAAGCTATGCATGCAAAAATTTATAATAGTAGGGTTAATAAAAATAAATTTAATGTGCAATGAATAGGTACAAAGAAAAAAAAACAATAATTAATATTTTAGATGTCAATGGTCAACAAACTCAGCGTAGAATTTATACGTGTGTTAAGAGAGTTTATAGTGATTATTGTTTGTTCACTAATAAAAGTAAGGCATTGTTCGATAATTACATACCTACATATGTACATACATGCATTTACACACACACACACCTATATTTCAAAAGGGGTTGTAGACAGAGACGTCCTAAACGCCCTTATTTTGGAATTTCTCCCGCTTACGAAATGTCAACTGCGCAGTCTAGGAATCAGGTGGGAAAATTGTGAATGAAAGAAAGGGAAGGTAAGAAGAAAAGACAACATCATGAAAGTGATATTGCTGAAAAGAATGAACTGGGTATTGTCAGTAATAGCGAACCTGTAACTTGAACTGGCTGTTGCATTCTTTATTTATTAATTTAATTATATTACAATATAGTTGTAAAAGGGAAATTTAGGAAATATCAACTTTAGTTCATCCCAAACTGGTCAGAGCCTGTACTATGGTAACCAGACGGCCGATAAACATACTTATGTATTTCTAATGACACCGAGGCACAGAACATATTATCGTGATCATCAAACAATTATTTGTCCTGGGTGGGAATCGAAGCCAAATGACCAACTGACCATCAGGCCAGTTATGATAATTAAAGATTACTTCTTATAATATAGACCGTGTGGTGACATATTAAGAATACAGAGTGTCACTACCCCTATTCATCCCGTGGGTGTCGTAAGAGCCGTCTAAGGGAGAAAACTACGAAGAATAACAGTAAAACTTGACACAAACCCTATACCAACCCGTCTGGACAGCGTGGCATAGTAGGCCAAAACCTCCTTTCTAAGGAGAGGCTTATGTCAAGCAGTGGACTGTTAAAGGCTGTTGATGATGATGATGATGAATTTTCTATGATAATTCGTTCTGTGTCTGGGCGTAGTTTTACTATAAATATGTATATTTTACAGAAGTCTGGTTACCATAGACCAGGTTCTGCCTAGTTTCTGACCAGTGAGACTAACTTTTGCCAGCGACTTCGTGCGCTTGGTGGTCGAAATCAGACATCGTAGAGTATACAATGAATCAAGATTATAGGTATATTCTCCATATACACTTGCACCCTTTTTAAGGGTAGTTTAAAGAAATTAGTAACAACGTTTTTTAATACTTGTGTATTATTATTATTGTGTAGTATTTAATACTATGGAGTAGGTATTTACTGTGAGTTAGAAAACGCTATTATCAAAAATTACGAAGTTTTAAAAACAAAGAAAAAAATATATGTTGTTATCAATAAAAATTCTGAATCTGCTTTGAATATTTTATTAAACTAGCTATGGTTACAAATATATGCATTTGTATATTTCTTCAACTTATCTTCAAAAATTCATTCATGGACTTAGTTACAGCGAAGTTTCGAGAATCATTCTAAACCACGTTTATTTCTTGGACTCGTATTTTTCTATTTCCATAGACATCAAACACCTCATGAATTGGTAAGCTCTTTCGCATTTGCATGGTTCTCCTGAGGAAGTACATAAAAACATTAGAAAATAATCAGTTGAACGTTCTACGACAAATCTTAACGAATAAAACCAGTTTGTTCCACCATTGATAACACAACTCAAGAACGGCTGGACAAGTTTTCATGATCTTCGATTTTTTGGATTTATCTCCGTTCTGGTTATCAGTTCAAAAATTTACCAAAAAATTTATGAGAGATATTCATTTTCTCATATATTTTGTATGAACCCTAAATGTTTATATTTATTTTTTCTATTACTGCACATTTGATTTAACCGTTAATCTATATAGAGGATTGCCCTTACGTAAAAGATCTCTCTAGTCGCAAAAGGTTCATATTTTTATTCCACTATTTTCAATTTGATTTCGTAACTATATGTTTACGTGACCGCTGTTACATTTATTACTCTCTTACAGGCAGCGTTAATGAAAGTTAGAACGTTCACAATTCATCAGAGAGAGCCATACTTTGGTAAATATGAGCTAGCTCGACCGAAGTGCTACCTCGGCCTCACAGTAAATAATAATAATAATATTTTTCGATATTTCTTCACTTTTGGCGTGTGTAATGTGCACACACACATTTTTTTTGTATAAGTACAAATTATACATAGAAAAGAAAACACCTAAACTCCGAAACAAATATCTGCAGATCATACAAACACTTGTCGGTGTTAAATAATTCTTTCGTCGCATTTCACAGGTTGATTGAGGTTGCAGCGTCCCGCCTCAGGGTGCTACGGTCACGCCGGGATGTGCTTCAGACATGGGGTACTGCAGGGAGGACTCCAGAAGCCTCCGATGCGTTCCTGGAGCTAATTCCGACTGCCGAAGCAGGCCGCGGCGGGGTTTAGTGGGTAGATCGGTTCTCCGGGGGTCCCACACACGCCCTGCGTTTTCCTAACGGTGGGTATGGGTCGTAAAGCAATCCCCGTAAAGAAAAAAAAGGTTGAGTGAGGTTGCCGGAGACCGAACCCTAGGGGCATTCTGAGGGGGCACTCAAACACCCGGCAACGAATTTATAACTAGAGTTGTAGATGGCTTTAGGCACAGGTGACCACTTGTCATCACGTGACGAGTCTGGACGTGTGGGCCCGTACTACTCGTATATAAAAAAACACGAGACATTAACTTACTTCTATCTGCACAAATTGCAGTCAAATCTCCGATATCCTCCATAGGCTTTCCGTTACGATCTCCTGCAAATAATATCGCCGCTCTGGCTGGGTTGAACATCCCGTCTTCTGACGACATTATATCCATGTTTTCCAACATGCAGCGGATGAAACACTTAAAAAGATAAATGAAAACGAAAAAATCAAACAACTAGTGCCTATAGATGACCCAGTATGACCCAGACCTGACTTGGATAAGCCAACCAACCAAATTTCTACCTTCTGTCAATATTCTTTTTACACGAACTACCTGCATTTAATTTAACGATATTGTTCATAAAGCAAAAAATATGCTTTGATGCAATCGGACAGAAATGCATTTTTTTTAAGGCAATACTCGCATTAGGAATATATCATGTGTCACGAGGACTTTACAAACATACATGAAATGGACACAAAGAACTCCCAGGCTTAGAACAATAATTTGTGGATCACACAAAGTGTCGTCCTTTGTGGGGTTTGAACCCATAACATTTGGCGCAGTAGGAAGCGGCGAGGTAACCGCTTAAATAACTACGCCATGCGTGCAGTCCAACTTATACGAGTATAACTATTTGAATTTTATTGAACTCTTGTATGTTTGGCTTTATTTTAAGGTCCAGTGTAACTTGAAGTATCATTGTATGGGTCAAAATATTTAGTGTTTTCATATTTTAGCTTTCTGTACTTTTTTTACGCATACACATTAAGTATTCCAAGTAAAATTTGTTTCCCTGAGCCATAATTCTTTAAAAAGGTCACAAAAGAATTTTCTTTACTTGTAAATAAAGAGATAATAATAATAAAGAATAATATTCGGACATCTGACACACAATGCCATCTAGTTTCAAACTAAGCAGAGCTTGTACTCTGAAAGCTAGATTGACTGATATATAATACTTATATACTGTTTTTTTGTAAATAAATACATATTATAGATAGAAAACACCCAAACTCCGAAACAAATATTTGTAGATCATACAAACATTTGGTCCGACCCGGGAATCGAACCCGAGACCTCAGCACAGCAGTCGCATACGCTACCACTGCACCACCGAGGCAGTCAGTCCCAGATAAATATTGAAACAAAAATTATAAATAATCTCTACAATCAGCTATACAAAACAGAACAGGTGATGGTTTGAATTGAATATTTGCTTCATTAAACAGAGTTGACATACCTTTGGAGTCTTATCAGCTTCATCACTAAAACTGCCGGTTTCGTTAAGTGATTCCAAGTATGCTGCAGAAATTAAAAATCTGTTATTACTAGTCGATTTTAGAATGTTTTAATTGTTCCTAGCTTTAATCAACGTCTGTCAGTAGTACACTGCTTGACATAGGCTACTCCTTAAAAAGGAGGTTTTGGCCTACTATATCATACTGGCCAGACAGGTTGGTTTGTTTCAAGGTTTCCTTCTTTTTGCAGTGCTGTTGCCCTGTAGAGTTTGCTCCCTTAGTCGGCTTTTACGACACCCACAGGATGAATAGGTCGGGGTAGAGTGGTGACGCTGCGCAAACTTAATACGTCACAACAAGGGTAGCTCCTAGCTTTAGCTAGAATAAATTCGCTGACATTGTAACTCCGTTTAATCAAAGCGTTATGGAAGTAGCGTGGTAGAGCCACAGCGTGATAGAGCCATAGCGCGGTAGAGCCATAGCGTGAGAAATGAGTATGGGGGTGGTAATCACTTATCACCAAGTGACCCGACTGTTCATTTGCTCCCTATATTATAAAAAGACTAAGATTATTATTTTTACTAATATTGAAAGGAATATCACGCAATTAGCTTTTTTTTCTATAAAAGACAAATCCCGCATTAGGAATATATGTATATCCTGTGTCGCGGGGGACTTTCCAAGCATACATGAAACGGACACAAAGAACACCCAGACTCAGAACATCAATTTGTGGATCACATAAAGTGATGTCCCATGTGGGGATCGAACCCATAACACTCAGCGCAGTAGAAAGCGGCGACCGCTTAAACCACTACGTCATCCGTGCAGTCATGAAGAGTGATGGTAAAAATTTATGACAATATTTACTTAAACTTACTCATTTCAATCCGAAAAGTCTCATTACATTCGTTCATGATCCGTTCCATATCAAGATTGTAGTTCTCATTACTTCTGGCTTCCTGGTACTTCGTGTTAGTAGACCCAAGGTCTTTTGTTATGGCGTTAGCTGCCATTGTCAATGTGTATAATGCCATACACATTATGGCGACAATTACTTTTGCCATTTTGAATATAGACGCAGCGAGAAGAGAGACACGAACTCAATGTGTACACCACTACGGCCATGCCGTTTATATGTAATCTGTAGTTGATTGATGCCAACGGCCAGAGGTTTTAAACTCTTTTTGAATTGAATATTGTAATGTCATATATTTAGTCATATAGTTTCGGACCCAAAAGAAGGCGTTTATCAAGTGGTAAAGCGGCTATTCATAAACAGTCTACGAATAAGTTTTTTATTTTAATTCATTTTACTTTATTGGCATATTCAAAGTTAATGAGAAACAACTTATGTCTAAATCAACTCCAGTTTAGCTTTTCAGGTGAGAACATGCCACTGGACCGCTATATCAGTTCTCTTTAAAATACTTTTTTTTTTCTTTTAAAAACGACAACTCACGCACTTTTTTTTTCACGGGGAGTTTTTAAAACATACATGAAACGGACACAAAGGACACTCAGACTCAGAATAACAATTTGTGGAATACACAAAGTATTGTCCCATGTGGGGGTCGAACCCACAACACTCAGCGCCGAAGTGACCGCTTAAACCACTACGCCATCCGAGCACTCGAAACTTGAAGAGCGAACTGTTGAACTGTATTAGTTAGATCACAGAAACACCTGTTGTTAAGCGGTGATGGCCTATTTAGTGGATCCTTTCTGTTAATTACGTCTTTCATTTTGATTTTACAAAATAAACTTATTTTGCTAACACAGAATGCTGTAGAAGGAATCCTAATTTTTCTAAAACTAAATCCTTAAAATTAGCCTAAAATATTGTCTTTAAATAAACAAAATTTATTGAAATATTTAATCGCTTTAGTTACATAAGATTTTAGAAAAAACAAATCTATTTTGAAAAATCTAAAAAGCCTCAAAGGCCGGCAACGCGTTTGTGACTTCTGAGTTGCAGACGTTCATGGGCGGCGATAGTCACTTTCCATCAGGTGACCGTCTGCTCGTCTGCCCCCTCTAACATAAAAAAAAACTGAATCCAAAAAAATGTTGAGAAGCTCTGTTGTGCAATATTCTGTTGTCACAGAGTACTTACTATAGGTACACCGAGAATTCTTCATTACATTAACACAACTATTCTAAGGTTTTATTTAAATATTAATTGTGATAATGGATAACTGAAGTACATTATTATACTGAAATTCAAAGCTGGGTCGTTTAAGCTGTTATATGCAATTGCAATATAATAGGAACGTAGATTGTTGACGTTGACTGTACGGATGGCGTAGTGATTTAAGCGGTCATCTTGCCGCTTTCTACTGCGCTGGGTGTTGTGGGTTCGATCCCCACATGGGACAACACTTTGTGTGAACCACAAATTATTGTTCTGAGTCTGGGTGTCCTTTGTGTCCGTCTTGTCTTGTATTGTCTTTAAAAAAAGATTAAAAATAGTGTGTAGATTCAGAGTAATATAACGCTGGAAATATAAAATTACGAATTTTCAAATAACACATTTATTGTGTATATCAGTGATTCCCTAAGTGGTCCAGGGGTCCTCGGTAGTACGAGTATGTAACTCGAGTAGAACGGTATTTACTAATAATATAAGGCAACTTCCACATTCAATCGTTGGGCCGCTTTATTGTAAAACTTTCATACTGCAGATCATCAACAGCCTCCAACAGTCCATCGCTGGACATAGGAATCTCCTCAGAATGGAGGTTTTGACCTACTATGCCAAGCTGGCCAGACGGGTTGGTATAGGGTTTGTGTGTCGGCTCCTACGACACCCATGGGATGATTGCGGGTGGTGACAATCGGTATTCTTAATCCGTCACCACACAGACCAAATACTGCAGATAATTAACTTCTAATAAAGTGTTATCGACAACGGTCTACCTACATCGTGATGAATTGTAATAAACGATATTTTTCATTAAATCGTTTTCACACTAAAGGATGTTTTTTTTTCTTTAAATTAAAATGGGACCAAACAAGAAGGAACCTTTTCGAATTAAAAAGAAATCATTATAACACACCGTCGCATCAGCGCCGCTCAGATAGACAGAAAAATATTTTGAACCCGTAACTTGATTTTATATTTTCGATATTCTGCGGTTTTTTAAAAATGTACTTACTTTAAATCCCATAAATAATGAGGTTTAATGATGTGTATAAATAACCAGGGTTTAGCATTATTCATTTAAAGTTCTAGAAACTTCAATAGCTCGTAAACCATTGTGAACTCGAAAATATGGTCAAATTGGTTGTTGTTATAAACCTTCAATACGATTATGGCGGTAATAGTAGTAATTTGTAATAGTTACTGGTTGGAAATTGACCATTACACACACGCATTTCCTGTATTTTTGCTAAAATTTGATTTTAACACCATTTATTCAGTTTATATATAGCAGCAGCTTATATTTTTTCTTCAGGGTGTTTTGGAGTCACCAGGGACTTCCTTTCTAGGGTATACCTGGTTCCCCGGCTATTAGTACCCGAGGCGGCGTGCGGTTTTAGTCGGTTCGAGTCCGACATGCCACCGATAGGTGGTATCCGAGGGGATTGCCGCACGGAAAAAAGAAAGGTTGTTTTGGAGTATGTTAAATATGTAACTATCGATGATGGTTTTGTAAAATATTTGTTAGAAACGTTGCGATATGAACATCTATGGCAATTGTTATGGGTGCCCTAAAAATTATATTTACAAAACTTCTATATCGTGTAGTACTTGAGTTGTGGAGTTCTGATGGCAGTGGCTCCATGTAAAACGACGTTCAGCCGTATCGTAGTAGACTGAACCAGACCGACCCGGACCCAGTTTGAGAAAAGACTTGTAGGATGATTTGTTAGATAATACTACTAGATCCTCCATAATCCATAATAAAAAATGTGTGAACATGTTATCAGAATATTTAGGTAAATTTAACTATGCAGACACAGAAAATGTATTGGCAATTGTTAAATGAGTCTTAAATAGTTTTTGTATAATATTATTTTCTATTATTTCCTTTCGTACGTGTACACTTTGTAGTATTTTTTATATTTTCTAGTGATCTGTTATGTTTATCTTACATTTCTACCTTAAAAATTCCATGTCAAGCGATCGCCTGAAACACAGATTTACCCTAGTTCAGGCAGGCAGCGACTAAACTTTTTAACAAAATCGTAATATCTTCATGTGTAGAAAATCATAAAATAACACTACTATAGATTTACGTTAGTGTAACTTAGTCTAATTATTGTCTAAGATCTATGTTAAACTGAAATGTCCCACACTGTAATATTTATATTGGTCAAATAAAAAAATATATTAAATTATTATTATAATGATTACGGTTGCAAATATTCTCCAAGTGCGAAAAAGATCTTCAATAAAAAGGCAAAGGAGAACTCTTTGTAGTCTGGTTAACCAGTATTTTAAATTAGCTCAAACAAATAGTCATATTAAGCTTTGCTTGGCTTTCTTTTCCCTTCTTCGAGTTTCCTAACAAAATCTATATTTCTGCAACATAATATTTAGGAAAAAAATTGTGACAGTGTTATCGTTGCTGTTTATATGCGCGAAAAGATCATCAACAGCCTTTAGTACTCGTAGTCCACTGCTGGACGTAGGCCTCTCCTTAGAAAGGAGGTTTTGGCCTACTAAACCACGCTGGTAAGTTTATGCTTTGTTTCAAGTTTTCCTTCTCTTAGCTGTGCTGTTGTCCTGCGTAGTTTGCTCTCTTAGTCATCTCTTACGGCATCCACGGAATGAACAGGGGTGACATTCCGTATTCTTAATCCGTCATCCGTCACGAAAAGATATTTTTGGTTAAAAATATATAATTCATTTTTTTTGATAATGAGCTTGTTGGAGGTCGTTAGATTTTTTTTACATTAATGGAAGAGTATGACAGAAAAGTATGACTGCTTTTCCAAGCAATAACTCTCATTATCAGTAGTACGTAATTGGTTATGGAACAAGGTTAACCCATAACTGAAGGTGTGTTCATATGTAACATTGATGAAATCCTTTATATCAAATATTTTAACCACTCACTCTTAATATCTTGTTTGATTTCTGATGATAATACAACAATTCCGTAAAAAATTGGGTATATAAAATAATACCAAAACAGTTAAAATAATTTTATTTCAATACACTTTAACAGTGTATTTGATTAGTAAAATAATCAGAGTATTGCTTATGTTGTGACTATGGAAATAAAAAGCATTTTTAACTGTCTTTATAAAGAAAGTTTGACTGAATATTGTATATTTTTAGTATTATTTTTGTATTTTAAAAATATATTTGAAATTATTTTTTGAAATATAATTATTCGTCCGGCAGCATCTACTACGTCAACAATCATCATCATCAACAGTCAGCAACAGCAGCTTAAAAAGGAGGTTTTGGCCTACTATAAAAGGCCGTTTTAAGTTTTTCTTCTCTTTACAGTGCTGTTGTCCTGCGTGGTTTGCTCCCCTAGGTGTCTCCTACAGCACCCACGGGATGAAAAGAGGTGGTGACACTCCGTTTTCTTAATCCGTCACCACACTGTACTACGTGTTATTTTTGAGGTAGTCTAGCTAATTTACAAATTTACTAGTTAATACTCGCTAAACGTTACCTACACAGTATACAATGCGTAGCGGTAGAAAGTTCTAGAAACTACATAACTTATCTTTGGTAAATGCTGTTTTTGAATTTTAAACACTATAGTATCTTATCATGGTGTATTGTGAAGATGGTTGACGTTTTAGCGTAGTTCACAGTTACGATTTCAAGTGACTGACATATTGCAGCTAGAGACAGAATGTCAAAATGTGTTAAATTAATACTTATTTTAGCGTTACTTGACTTAAACTTTGACAGAGTACGAAGTAATGGTATGATTTTTGTGTTTGTTTGTGTAAATAGTATATTTTGAAGTAATTCTTGTTTGATGGTGATAACATCTTAAGTGGCCAATCAAACTGTTAGCCAGAAACTGTGATGCGTTAGAGCTATTACTAGATTTATTTGCAGACTGTTCCAGAAGTCGGTGATTGGGATCGCTGGGGGTAGTCGATCAAACTATTTTTTCCTTTTCTTTAATAAAATCTTTTACCAGTGTGGGTTTTTTATCATTTTTCATCATTTGGAAACGAATTATTATAATTTCTTCAGCTAGTTTCATTAGTTCTGATTTCGTGCATTTTTGTTTTCTTTAAAATATGGACAATCAAAACAATAGGTATTTAATAATACGTAATTTCACATGAATCAGCTCGCTCTTATTTCATATATATGAAAGCTTTTTCTGACAAATTTTGAATATCATTTCATCATTTTTAAATTAAGGTTTCTATATTAAACATGAACGGCTTTTCTATATTGGTTAGCCCTTTAAGTTTACACCACCTCTATTCATCCCGTGGGTGTCGTAGCAGCCGACTGAGGGAACAAACTACGTAGGAAAGCAGCACCGCCAAAAGAAGGAAAACATGGAACAAACACTATACCGTCCCGTCTGGACAGCGTGGCATAGTAGGCCAAAGCATCCTTTCTAAGGAGATGCCTTTGTCCAGCAGTGGATTATTAAAGGCTGATGGTGATGGGTTTCTTTCAATATAATTTCAATATTCCCGTCTAATCTTGCTATTATTATTTGAATTATTTTATAATTTTTGTAACAGGTTCTTTAGTCCAAATCCAAATTGGGGTTAATACACCAATTACGTAAGTCTGAAGGCCCACTTACGATTAAACCCATATTACGATTAAAACATGATTAAAATCATAAAATAATAGCAAAATCTAAACATTGAATACCTTGGTTTACCCCTTTGCAAACATAGGCGTGAGTGTACGTATTTATTCATTATAATATAAAATCATTTCATCATCATCACATTTTTAAAAAACTCTGTCCACAGATGAGATCGATAAGAATACCTATTCAGATTATGAAAACACTCAAATACTTCAAATCATACCTAATTATTTTGAATATCCCTTAAATGCGGTTAAAAAGAAACCTGAAATGTTAGGCAATAATAAAGTTCCCATAATAACGAAAACCATAGAAGACATGAAAATTAAAGCATATGATGAAGGATTTGTCAATCCCAGTGATGATGAGAATTGTGTATGGAATGAAAAAGAAAGTAAAGAAAACACTAACATTGATAATACTGAATCGAAGAACATTAAAGTAGATGAGTATGAAAGCTCTCTTAAATTAAGAGATATTAGTACAGTAGCCTACGATTATAAAAGCCTTTTCATGTTCTATACCAAAGAAGACACCTGCAAAATGAAGTCAAATACGCATGTTGATCATAATAAAAACGTAGTATTGTCAAAGAATGGGAAAGTAACAGGGAAGAAACAGAAAAGTAACGATATAAGAAATGAAGAGTCCTTGGACTCATACAAAGACGGTGATGACGATTGGGGTCAATCATATGCAAGTCAAGGTTTTCAAAACACTTTTAGTTTGGACGTAACAGTCGAAGAAATAGAGAAAGGAATATTGATGACAGAGAAATTATTAGAAGAATATAATTTTAATAGATTAGCATTGAATAAGAAAAGACAGTAGTCAAAGGAAATATTATGAAGAAGTACTAAGCATTAGCAGTAATGTTCTTGCAGCAATCTCTATATTAACACGTCAGGAATTTTTTTTGTGTCTACTTACCTTTTTTAAACAAGTATATTGCAAGTGAGAATATTATATTAGGAATAGTTAATGTTTCTATGTAGAATTTTACCATAAATCGTTGTATTGTAGCTAAAAATATGTGTTTTAAAGATAAAAGTCCTAGTCCTGTACATATTTTGACCAATCATACTACAAAAGTCTGTGCAGGGTCAAGTCAAGTAATACTGGTATAAAAAGATCTTCATTTATTAACTTTTAAACATAAAATGAAAAAACAACTGCATACTTCACACGATAATAAATAATAAAGTAAAAAAAAAACGACCAAGTAAAGTAAATTATCTGGGATTCAATTGTCAGTTTCATAATGGGAATGTCAAAATATAACTAACATTTAAATTATCATCTTTAATTAGCATAATTAATAATATTATATTAATAATAAATTTATTTATTATTCATTATGCTAATTCGTCTCGGTTGCATGCCAACATATTAGCTTTGTAAAAAAAGAAGTTTGCATAGGAACAGTGGTAGTATGGTGTTCTGTAATATGTTTTTTTTTTCTATGAGAAAACTCTGTCTACAGTGAGCCAGCTCGAAATTCTTTCTTTGATAATATAGTAGTTGTTACAAAGTATTTGAGCTCTGTCCTTCATTGGTTGATCAGATAAGACAATAACAGTGTTTGTTAGGTGTTTGCGTTGAAGCCCAATAATTACGCTACGAACATATTATTCAAAGAGTAAATAAAATAAAAACAACACAATGTCTATTTCAACAAAGTAAACATAATTTTCATCCAAAGAATGATGTAAGGTTGGATATGCAGACTTATAATTATGTAACTGGATGTAACACGAAGGTGATAGAATCTCGTGAACTTAGAAAAATAAAGACAAACGCATTAAACACTATGGACAAAACATCAACTCGTTTGTATATATTAAAGATCAGTAAAAAAAAGAAATAATGGTAAGTAATAAATTTGATAAGAAATTTGATAAAAAAGAAAGAGAGAGATAACGTTTTAGACAAAATACATGAAACTAACGTAGACTAAAATCAAACACATGAAGGAAACAAATGTTAATATTAATTCTGCATACGCAGTTCATCTACCTATGTAATATAGGCAACTTCAGCTTTGTAACTTTTAAGGGCATTTTTACATAATTTAACCTTTCTCATGCATTCAAAAGTTACTCGTTAAGTAGATAACGGTAATACTTTTCCATTTATATTGTTTTAATATACTACGTTTCAAACTACTAAGCAGAATTGGAAATAATTCAAGCATTTATATAACTTGCAAGAGAAATAAGTTCTTTGTTTTTTGATGTCGATAAAAACTCCAATTTTGAAGTAATAGACAATTTGAGTTACAGGGATGCGATTTTATTGCCTATTTTCCCTAATCCACCCATAACAGTCCCTGTCCTATGATTGCCTTTCCTTCTTCTACCTCTAATTTAAAAAAAACATTTTTTTCATGTAATCTCTCAAGTACGCTTGATGGTAATTAGATTGCCACATATCACTTACGTTGAACTAAAGGTTGGCCAAATATGGGCTTCTCAATATACCTCTGCCTATCTTCCCTTCAGTTATATAGGAGTGAGTTTCCATCCAAGAGTTAATAATATTTGTACCCTTCATCAACAGCCTATAACAGTCCACTGCTGGACATATGCCTCTCTTTAGAAAGGAGGTTTTTTCCTACTATCCCACGCTGGCCAGACGGGTTGATATAGGATTTGTTTCAAGTTTTCCTTCTAATTGCAGTGCTGTTGTCCTGCAGAGTTTGTTCCCTTAGTCGGCTCTTACGGCACCCACGGGATGAATAGGGGAAGTGACATTCCGTATTCTTAATCCGTCACCACACGGTATTTGTACCCATAATATTTTATTATTCTTCATATCCATTTTCATTTAATCCATGGATCAGTCAGCAGTAGTCATGATTAATGTGCGCGTATTTTATTCGAAACTCGAAATACTTGTCATTCCCGTACGAGACCAATTTTGTCTCGTGTCTACTTTGATCACAAAAGTCTTAAAAAAAGGTGAGTTTTGATTAAATTAAAAGTATTTTGTGGTAAATCTTATCTTAATTGTAACATTTATAGCGTACAAACTGTGAGATGATAAATAACACTCTATAGAAATTACGAAAAATATGGCTTTTCTATAAAGTTCATCATCATCATCATCATCATCAACAGCTTTTTTAGTCCACTGCTGAACATAGGCCTCTCCTTAGAAAGGAGGTTTTGGCCTACTATACCACGCTGGCCCCACGGGTTGCTATAGGGTTTGTTTCAAGTTTTCCTTCTCTTTGCAGTGCTGTTGTCCTGCGTAGTTTACTCCCTTAGTCGGCTCTTACGACACCCACGGGATGAGTAGAGGTAGTGACACTGTATTCTTAATCCGTCACCACACGGAATTCTTTATAAAGTTACAATCGATTAAAAGAATCTTCACTGAAAATACTCCTGGGTTGCAGGCGTTCATGGACGGCGGTAGTCACTTTCCATCAGGTGACCGATCTACTCGTTTCATCTTCTTTATTATTTATTATTGGGTATCATTTTTAGATTATAGGCCTATGGTCCCTAATTATCACTAACTGGCTGGTCCGTGCAACTTCTTCGGCGTCTCTGAACAGGAATAAAATTTTCCCGTTTTTGCAACATTTTTCATTGATGCTCGGCTCCTATTCGTCGTAGTGTGATGTTATATAACCTATAACCTTTCTCGATAAACAGGCTATCCAACACAAAATGAATTTTTCAATTCAAACCAGTAGTTCCTGAGATTAGCGCGTTCAACCAAACAAACAAAGAAACTCTTCAGCTTTATACTGTTAATATAGTAAATAGATACCAGTAGCAGTTAAAAAAGCAAACAATAATTCCATATCTTGAGAAAAGATCCCACACAACATATAACTTCTGTTTTGTTAGTGAGTCTTCTTTCAGTTAATAATTGGTTGAAAAGGTAGAAAGCTGATTTCTATGTACCAACGTGATGCCGCTACATACATTCAATAACAGTTTTATAACAATAACTTTGAAATATTTTCCTCAGCTTTCTAGGAATCATCGTCAGCTTAAAAAAAATGTCTAACACCAAAGAATAACTGAAACTAACTACATCTAGTCGGTTTCCATTCAATTCAATTTCTAATCACTTCTTCTTTCTAATCACTTCTTAATCACTGGTGGTCTGCTTGTGCATACCGTAACCCATTCATCCAGTGAATACCATCAGTAAGGGTTTTGATACAAGAGGCGACGTAGCATCTGCGTGACACTGCACATTCTAGTTGAGTGCTAAGTGTAGTGTAACAGTGACACCTCCTTAATCCTCAGTACTGTTATTGGTGCAGGAATATTACGGTGCATCATGGTTCTGGTACATAGTCCGAAGTAAGAGTCCATGGGATTCCGCTGTCTGTACGCTAATGAGGTAGCCGAAATTACCTAAAGGACTAGCTCTTTCCAGACCCGAAGTGGATTGGGTTCTGTTTCTTCTATACATTTACTAAACAGGTCTGAGGTATTACGCACATGTTTCTCTAATTTCGATATTACTATAGTTGCCCTGTAATCGTCAGGAGAACTCAGAAACTCTCTTTGGGACTGCAAGAGAGAAGCCAAGTCATGTCTCATAAGCTTCTTGAAAGGCAAGGAAATTACGCTGTTTTCCTCTTAAAGAAGCTTGATAATATTAAAGACACCGTATAGATTTTATTAGTTTGACCACGACGTGATCATGATAGTAGGTTTGCTTTGATCAGCACTTACTAGATTGCAATCAAAGGTGTTGATGGTACAAGACTGACTAGAAGAATTAGTAGGTACTTCGCAGTAGCGTGGTTGGTAGCGCTATAGAAAACCATGTGTAAACGATGTGTGGAAATGCACTTAGCGAGTTATAACTTTGTATGTCACTTTTTTAAACTGTGTTTTAAAAACGCTAGTAACTCATTAAAACTTCTGCCAATAAGCCTTTTAAGTTTATAAATACAGGTTTTTAATTTAGTGTTACATTTAGACTTCAAACATCCGAAAAACAATATTTGCTAATATATAACATTATGCTACGAGTTACTTTTTTATCCCAATTTTCCCTTTTATTCCTAAGCCAAGTCTACAGCAAATAGGCATACCTTTTTGACTGAATTGTAACCACCACCTATGGACTCTATCATTTTTACTCATTATTTATAGACATAGTATCTGAAGTCGTTGCAACATGGATCTTGTAACACCACCTCATCCAGAATGCACAGTATCTGGAATTATGAGTTTCATTCTCCGTCTATCCCGAGTGGCTGGCGTAGCTCCCCTCAAGTTTACGAGTACACCTGATGGTTATCGTATTCAGGTATCACATAACTACAGTCTATATGGCGAAGCAGTGGTCTTACTGTTCGGTAAGTTTCATATGTATGTTCCTATGATTTTTGGTTAGAGTAGCTAGAGGATATTTAAATCGAAATAAGAAGATGGAAGTTCTCAATTTCTTCGGATCTTTAATTTTTATGTATATCTATTACCCAATGGCTCGAAAATGGTTGGACTGAATTAGGTGATTCGGTAAACAGCGTAATACTGTGTTACTGCGTCTTACGTCAAGACGCTTATATGTTGTAAACTAATCTTCGATGTGTTCTGATTCTCTTCACATTTTATGGGCGAATTCTGCTTATCATATTATAACTGCTCACATATTTTCTTCCGTAACAGCTGCCAACTGGTGATCAAAATATGGATCTGATATAATAAAATATCATCTCGTGAACATTTTCTCTATCAAACAGATGAATTTTACGAAAGATTGTAATGAAATTAGAATTCAGAACTTTTAGATTTTAAAAAATACTTCATTTTGATAGTGTCGACATGCTCTGGCAAGTGATTATTAGGAGTTGTAATTTAGACAATTCGTTAAGTATTTAATGTTGAAAACGTCTTAGTTTACGTATTTTAATTTTTATTCTATAAATTCAATAATTTAAACAAATTTCCGTTTATAATGAACAAAAATGATTGCGTTATAACGTAATAGGCACAAGCCTTCTTCCTATATTTATGTTTCCAGTGGCCATATCTATAGTGGCTGTAGTAATGGATTTGACAATATACAAGGATTTTTCCTTGAAAGCTACCACTAATGCGAACCGTATCGTCTGGATAACTGACGTAGGCATTGTTAGTTTGGTGGTCATCATCGGTGCTTATACTGGTGTCAAGAGAATGCGGTACATGATCGACACTGTTGTGGAATTGAAACAGGTAATTTTAGATGTTTTTATGTATGGTATCATGCAAGTGCAGTAACGTTTCTGGATCAGAAAAAGTGTTTGGCTTAAAAGTGGACTGATCTATACTTAAGAAAATTTTATTGATTGTCAAACCACTAGTTATTGCTGAATAATATATTGCATCTGTATTTGATTTATTTTTCTAAAGAGACAAATAAATGTTCTAATATATTATTAATTCAGACCAAAGGGAGGTTTGCTTCGAAAGTCTTTTTTTTTCATTTGTCGTAAAAACCTCTATTGAGTCCTATTTCTTAGCGTTCCATGGATTCACCGTGTGAGTGATAGGTCCATTGCGAGATAGATGGGGGCAACACATGCGACTTCAACAGTGTCTGTTAATTGCGACCCAGAAATAGCTTTAGGTTAATTTAGTTTAGTTAGTATTTTATTAAAATTAGTATAGTAAAGTGACAAATACAGCACGTTCTATACAAAGTTCCAGAAGATTTAGGCCATAATTTCTGCTAATGCATTCTACTTGGCATGGAATCCTCTCAATCCTCATTTCTTAACCTTGAGTATAATTCGACCAGTAGTTTATTTAACAGTTTTCTGTTATTTTCAGGTAGACGAAGAGTTAAAAAAGTTCCGCAAACCAACATATATCAACGATAGAAAGACCTTATTATCCCTCACAGCATTAACATTCAGCATCGGTATCGTTTTTACAGACTACGGTTATTTCATGTACAAGGTCATAATGAATAATGGCAAAAGTAAGTAGGTTTACATTTACTATAAATTTTATTGCCCGCAAAAAAAAAAAAACGTAATACTATGATATTATACTAAAATGTTATGAGCACATTACATAAAAAATTGTATGTTTTATTACATTTTTAAACCAGGACGTTCTTATTGGTATACCTCATACTACAAGTAAGTGTCACGATTTTTAAAAGGATTAGGAGGTCCCAGTATACCGGGATCTCCTATTACCAGCACTCGAAAAGACTTGCTATGATACTGGACATGTTTCTGTAGGATAGTAAAAAAAAGCATTGTTTCCATATTTAGACGCATAGCTGACCCATGACGCATTTAGATGTTCGTGACGCATTTAGGTGTGGAGGGTTCTGGGCTCTGTGTTACAGACTTCTAGTAGTTTGTCATCTTGTTTATAAAACAAAGGATTTTTTATGGCCTGTATTGAACAACATGGGCACTGTATTTATGTGCATCACGGCTGAGAAATTTCTTTTTACAATATGCGATAAGGTCAGTAGTCCGTGTGGTGACGGATTAAGAACACGGAATGTCACCACCTCTATTCATCCCGTGTGTGTCGTAAGAGCCGACTAAGCGAGCAAACTACGCAGGACAGCAGCACTGCAAAGAGAAGGAAAACTTGAAACAAACCCTATAGCAACCCGTCTGGCCAGTAGGCCAAAACCTCCTTTCAAAGGAGAGGCCTATGTCCAGCAGTGAACTGTTATTGGCTGTTGATGATGAGGTCAATGATAGATACTAATTTTTTGCCACTAAAATATTCAGATTAGATCAGTCATTAATACGCAGTGTATAACTCCGGAATCAAAAAAATTCACACTATTTTTGACTGTTTCGCTGAAGAGTTGCCATCATTTGCTTAGGTTATATTAATAAAAATAGAATAAAAAAATGCTAAATTGATTTGCTCTCAGCGTTGTCTTTTTTGTTTAATGATGTTATATATTTCTTTCAGTTCTAACGTCGAGTTTATACGTATTCTACGCCATATCATGCATTAAGCTGGAATTGCTCGTGATTCAGTTCACTTTGACAAGCATGCTCATTTTGGCGACCCTTATGGAGCTTAACAACTGTTTTGATGACATACTTCTGGAGATGCAAAAGAATAAGTGTTAGTTTAGTTTTGTTTTTAGTTCATACCGTACACAGTGTACGAGCCAATAATGCCCATACAGCTATTTGAGTTTCTTTTACACAGTAATACTTAATTATTTTATTCGGTCGTAACAACAACTCCGTCACGCGTGTTAGTATCAGTATTTCATAACATAAGGTACGACTCAGATTGCTGAACATAGCTTAACTTTTATTCTGAATAAAAATAACTCTGTCTTGAATTAATACTGGTTTGGTGTGAACTATTTACCTACAACTACAACTACCTACTACCGGGGTACCGTTAACGACTTGATAACCCCAACACTCGGTATTATATTACGTAATATATCAGAGACGTTTCAAAGAAAAATATACGAGTAAGCCAAAATGTAGGACCATTAGGAATAGGATACATTGTATTATATCTATATATGTTCGTGAAATATTTTCCTAATACAAATATTGCAATTTCCAAAAGTATTGATTTAGAAGATTTTATTAATAAGTTTTAATAAACGTAGAGAATTTCTGAGTAAATCCGGTGATTCAATTAACGTCTTAGTAACTTTTTGTAGTTAAAAAATAACTGGTTCATGTTAGCACGCCCCGTCGGTAACTATTCTAATTCTTTTTTTAAAATTCAGAAAAATTATTAAACTTAAACGATTAGGATGCACATTAACAACCTAAATCGGGATTTATAAAAAATGCAAATTTGGAAATATCTAACCAATGATATGAGCGAAACATTTTGCTATATACTTATTCCGATACTAAAATTATGATGAGACTCATAAGTATATAACTTCACGACATTAAGTTACATTTCACTGACAGCCACGAGGAAAGATTTATATCAAATCTTCAAATTTTTTTTTTAATTTTTAATAAGTTATAATAAGCCTATTTGATCGCAATCATTATTTTTGTAGCCGTGGTATCAAAGTTTACGGTGTTATATACACAAACAGTGTTCAAGAAGAAAAGTACCCTCATAAAATCCAACAGAGTGACTCAAGAAATATTTGATCAAAATACTAAACTCAATGAAGGTAAGTCTTAACGACATAGATCTCACGTAAGGAAACAAGGCCCATAGAATCAACGAAGAAGGATATAGGCTGACAAAATACATTAACTTCGGAAGAAGGACCAGGTCAGAAGTATCCGAAACCGGCGGACTTGTATGTAAGGTAATAGAAGTACAGAATGCTTGAGAACTTGGGTAAAGATAGAAAAAATCCAACCGAATAAGAATTAAATGTTTAAAAAAAAGTGTTTGTGCAATTTACACACGGCGGAAGTAAAACTGCAGAATAATATTTTTTTCTTTTTTTTTATCTCAGAAAAACTCGGGAATCGAACCCACTAAGGCATCGGCAGAGACGCCATTGACGTCGGTCAAAATATCAGTATTCTACTAACATGATATCAAAGTGTCAATAGACTGTCGATATAGTAATATAGGTCATCAATGGTGATATCAACAACATTGCCATACCTGGAAAGTCACAAGTCATCTGGAGGCCATTGGTCTTACATAGTTAGTAGAGTAGGTAAAGTGCAAAACTTCCCACAAAATTCCATCGACAGTCTATTGATACAATATTAAAATAGTAGAATTAAGGCCCTAGTGACCCGCCCACTCGTTTCCCCCTATGTCATAAAAAAAGAATAATCACCCGATTGTGTGATATTTTGCAAATATCACGAAGTGGATTAAGTCGATGAACTTTATAACATAGGTATATTTGGGAATAAATGAATTAAAATTGCTATCTCTATTATTGAGAATATGTGGTACCGTAGATCAACTCGTAGACTAAAGAATTTATTGAACTTTTATAAAAACCACAGAATTTACTTACCATATGTCTTTATTCAGTCTACATTATAATCTGTTCACATCACAACAATTTTACATGAAAAATGTGACATAAAATACGATGAGTCACTTAATAACTTCACCGATATTGTGATATGAACCATAAATCATAGACCGATATTGAATCTGTGCTATTATATTAACTACAGAGCCAGTTGCATACGAACAATGAAATGTGCATGTTTGAATTTCAACGCGTTAGTTATTTATGTTTTATTTCGGGCATTCGGCCCGAAATAAGTTTGTATGATCTGCCATCATATGTTTCAGAGTTTGGATGTTTTCTATGTATGTGTATGATATGTATGTATTTATAAAAAAAATATTCCATCAGTCAATCTAGCTTTCATGGTACAAGCTCTGCTTAGTTTAAAACTACATAGATGGCGTTGTGTGTCAGATGTCCGAAAATATTGTTATTACTATTATTCAGATAAAAACATGATATTACATCAGATAATACTCTGATTTAAAAAAAAAAGTGTTTTAATTGGTTTTTGATTAATGTATTTTATTTTATTTTTATTGACTGAGAATGGTTATATACTATATAACATCAAACTGTGGCTTCTATAATTTGAAGCTTAGCCTTTTATTTATGTATGATTTTTTTTGATAGTAAAAATGGGTAATCAATAAAATGCGTTATAATTCGCAATAACTTTCTGCCCGGTTTTGAACTGCACTAAGTATATTCCAATTGTTCATAGATCGTTTCCTCTGTGTCTGGGTGTTATTTATCTATAACATGGATGGTAACATGGTAACATGGTATGGATTAAGAAATAAATAAATTATGTTTATCAACAGTCTGGTTACCGTAGCACAAGCTCTGCTGAATAATAATAATATTTAGGGCACAACGCCATCTGCTTTCAAACTATGCAGAGCTCGTACTATGAAAGCTAGATCGGCCGATAGAATACTTTTATACCTTTTTATTTTTGTAAATACATAATATTTTACATAGATAACACCCAAACTCTGAAAAAAATATATTTTCAGATCATACAAACAATTGGTCCGACCCTCAGCACAGCAGTCGCATACCCTACCACTTCACCACCGAGGTAGGCTTAGTTTGGGATCAGACTGCCGTGTGTGAATGTGTTAGGATATTATTATAGTTACTTACTAAACTTTCTTTGCCACCCCAGGTAACACTATTATAGCAAAAAAATTAAATCAACTGGTTCGACTTTACGGGTCAATGTCCGATATAATAGATAAAGTAGAAAAGTCCAACGGGATTCTACTAGTAGTGTTACTTCTGTCGTTCCTGCTACATCTGGTCATCGCACCGTACCATCTCCTCAATGGCATAGGTATGTTGAATTTTAACTGATACTTTTGCCACTTTTATATAAGTCATGTTTGCCTAGTACTAATTACTGCTGCAGGTATGATATGTTTACGGTGTTCAACAATCTTAGTATGAGATAAGGATTATCTCCTTTTTCTCACTGCTTACCATCTGCTTTAAATCCAACACCAGAGCCAATAACAGTAACTCACAAATACCGAACATGACTGTCTTCTGCCAGTAATGAATTGCATTTGGATTCTATAGTATTCACCAGGGTAGAAGCAATTCAAAACCAATGTTTTGTAATTTAATAATCAAATTTTATCAGTTTTACCTTTGTGAAGAGTCGTTGGCAAGAATACGTTACAACATATAGAGCAGAGTACTAAAACTACGAGTAAACTGCGAGAATCACCATTTAAAAACAACTAGAGATTGTCTGTCGGTCAAATTTTGACCATTCAAAATGGTCTCTGAAACTAGTCTCAAACAGAGCAAACTGATGTCTTGACATATAACTTGAAATCTAACTGTACAGGCCTTTCTATCATGAATAAAATAGACCTTGCACCAGACCTTGCACCTACCGACTATTACTTTTTCCAAAATTTAGACATCTTTTTAGTGGGTAAAAAAATCAATTCCCGAGAGGCAGTACAAAATGCCTTTGAAGAGTTTGGTGCCTCCCGTCCAGCTGATTTTTACAAGAAGGGCATCAATAAACTGCCAATCCGTTGGCAAAGATGCGTCGATTGCATGGGTGATTACTTCGAATAACAGAAATAAAAAAGTTTGAAAAAATAAGTACTTTCACTTATTGCATACAAAACGGCAATTTCATAGGTAAAGACCTAATAATCATATTAATTCAACAATACTTTTTTAATATTCCAGCTCATCCTGAACGAAATGATCTGTGGAATGTAGTTCTCCAGGTTCCATACGCTATTTTGCATTTTGGCAAACTTGTTATGGTCGTCGAGCCCTGTCACCAAACTCACGATGAGGTAAAGTAAACAATATCATCACAATCATCATTTTATCATCAACAGCCTTTAATAGTCAACTGCTGGACATAGGTCTTTCCTTAGAAAGGAGGTTTTGGTCTACTATACCACGCTGGCCAGACGAGTGGGTTTAGGGTTTGTTTCAAGTTTTCCTTGTCTTTTCAGTGCTGTTGTCATGCATAGTTTGTTCCCTAAGTCGGCTTTTCCGACACCTATGGGATAAAGGAGGGTGGTGACACTCCGTGTTCTTAATCCATCACCACACGGAAAGTAAACACGGCAAACGAAATATCTTGTCCTTACCATTTTAATGAACTATTCCTAGAGAAATTAAAACTAATAACGTATAATGGGATTAAAATAGTCATACTTTGCAAATGGATTAGTTAAGAATAGAGTTATTAACAATTAACGCACATGTAAACGTATAATAATATCATTCACTCGAATAATACACACATACAAACATGACCAGGTATTTCATTTGTTTTGTAAAACCTTAAAACTTCGGAACTTAAATATGTCTAAGGCCTCCATCTTTGGTAGATTTTAGAAATGTTTGATATAAAAACTAACTAAGTGGTACTTTTATATTACTCTCTAGGCATTCTAATAAAGAAATACAATTATTTTTTCTTACTTTGTTTTGTTTTGAACCTACCAATGTTTATACGTACTTACAAACAGAAATACAAAGCAACAATTACACTAGTACAACTCTAAGCTCCTACAGAACTCTTACAACACACTAAACTCCTGCCCCGTATTCGGGGCTCAACGACACAAAGCTGAGCAACGCCTTGGAGAAAAAATCGAGAGGAAAGAGGCACACCATCTACTGGAAACAAAGGACACAAGGCCGCAATTTTTAGAATTCGCAACCAAAACTTGCAAAATTGTTATAAATAAGAACAAATAAATAAAACAAGGCATACTGAAAGAAACAGAGCATACCAAAGACTCTTGTCATGCAAGAGGTTGACAGTTATTTATTAAAAAAAAAAAATACACACTAAACTCTTTGTCTCTCTCTTTTAAATTATGTTATGTTAGGATATAATTCTCAAGTTGTTGGTTCCAGTGATCTCATAGCACTCTTGATTTTTTATGTTTAGCTGGATAACACTAAAAATATGATTGCTCATTTGATGCGTTACATTCGTCACGACGATTTCGAGCTTATTACTGAAATCAAGACCTTCTTTCGTCATCTCAACCTGAATCAAGGCTTGTACGCTCCAATGAAGTTGTTCACCCTGAACAGAAGTATTATAGTAGCTGTAAGTATTGGTTTGCAAAAGGATCTACCTATTTGAATAGTAAATTAGTAATAAATGCATGCTAGTGGGGATTGTGATACCAGGTGTGATGCATTTCATGCAGTAATCGAATAGCTCAGGGAAGATCTGAGGGGCGCGTGGCTAAGTTTTAATCGAGTAGGTCATTGCAAAGTTAAGCAATCCTAATCAGGTCAGCCCATGAATGGATGACCATTCTTATCATATTGAGAAACCTCGTGCCGGTTGCAATAAAAATATCTGTGTCAATCGTTACGGGAAGCCTGGAACCCTAAAAAGTTTGATTATCAGTCCATCTACAGAACTTCGATATCGCCTAGTACTTGGGTTGTGGAGGTCTGATGGCAGTCGATCCGCGTAAAAAATCGAAGTTCAGCCGTTTCGTACTAGACCGAAAACCAACCCCAGCCTACTTTGGAAAAAAGGTTCCGAGGATCATTATTCACAGGGAAAATCTGTTCGTCTTTGCCTCATTGCCGCTTATAATTTGGAAAAAAAAAGTGCTGGCTCTAAGTCCACAGTTGCAATGTTATAGATAAATATAATAATGGATGTTCTTATTGTGAATCTTTGGCTGTGACCAGCGAGTACCTATGCAGGAAGAAGATCCATTTTGCCATCAAAAAAAAGTGTCGTGCTCCGAACATGCAGTATAAAAAACCAATAGATAAAATGAGTAAAGTAAAGATTTTCTATTTTACAGATCATGGGCAGCATTACAACTTATTTGGTCATTGTCGTCCAGATGTAATTACATCTATCAAAAGTATCGATGTCTAATACTGATGGTGTGTTCTATCAATATTTATATTTGCAGCAAATGTTATTCCTTCAATAGTTGATTGTTTAAATAATGGTTTGTGTTGTAAACGGACATTTAAAATACCGAATGTCTAAACTATTCCGGCACCAGTGTTTCCATATTAACAAATTTTGGAAATAAAATTGTACTTGAATGTGTATAACGATACACAGAAATGTGTGATTAGCTTTTGAACGCACTCCAAACGTAATCATACTATGAGTAAATCAATCGGGGTAGAACAGAAGTTGCAATTCTTCAGAAGTTGCAACACGAGTGACTGTTTGACTTAGACTTGACCCGAAGTCTTAACAGTATGTCAAGTTATATCAAACCGTATACATGCTTGTGTAAGGTTGATGTTGCTGGTACCCATTTAATTAAGTTAAAGTACTAGGATCTCATAACATTGTAACACATTTTAAATAAATGATTCTTAAACATGACTGATACTCATGTTATAATGCTGCTGTATACCTCAATGGCTCGAGAAGTAATACCAAGAAATTGGTAATTCTGGCACGTCGCACGTTTGTAGTAATTATTTGTAGATGGATTTTGTCTTCAGCTGTCTCGTGCAACGATTTGTTGTGGTTTTAGGTTTTCTTAATTATAATAAACAATTAAATGTGTCTCTTAATATCAGTACTTTCATTTATACACTTGCTCCTTTTTAAATATTTATTAGGCTTATTAATAATTAATAGATATTCGCTGCCATTTTCGATGAAAATTAAAATTTTATTTATAAAGGACAAACGATTTTATTCGATTAGAGATGCCTGACTAGTTTCTGATTTGATGGGGAATCTGTTTCAAGGGGCGAAGGGACCTTCAACGTCGCTGTCAGGCGCTAACATGTTTAAGTAAGTTACTGCGTTTTTTAACCGACCAGACTACCGAAGTAGGGCAATATTATTCATGGATGTGTTTCAACATACATATAAATCGAATATCGCCTCTTATAGGGCATCTACAACATTCCAAATGTGAATTGTCATTAGAATCGTCTCAACTGACAATTTTTAGCTTGTATTTTTTTGGTTGACTTTCTTTAGGAGTGGTAAGTCTTGTCACCCTAGCAGAAGCAGGCCTAAGTGGCGGTGCGAGCCGTTCCGTCCGCGAGGGCCGAGGAGATATCCAAAGGGATTGTCGCACAAAATAGGAGTGGTAAATTTATTTAATATACCGTGGTAAAACCATATTAATAGGAAATTAGGCCGTAAGAACAACAATGCAACAAATATATATAGCCGTACATACATACATGTCAGTATTAAACAAAGTTTATCATGTTCAAATAAATACGAAAGCAAGATTTGACATTTGTCGATACGAGAACCAAAAATCATAGAAACATACATAGTTTTAGCTATACAGATAACGAATATGTAATTTATAGAATTAAATCGCGTTTTATTACTGCTCGAGTTTTGGAGGAAACAGTGCATCTGTTGAGACCTGAGATCAGTCGCATTTTCAAAACGAGCCAACCATAACCCGGCAATCTCGTGCGCGACCGTACCGCGGGGTGACAGACAGTGGCGGGGGCGAGGTAGCGCGTCATTCTAGCACATGGCTACACACGAAGAGAAGTGTTTCCCTTCTCCGCTACACCACCCGCTACCCGCTGAAATCTTGAGTACCTCGTCCCCGCCACTGTCTGTCACCCCGCAGGACGGTCGCGCACGACGTTGATGGACTATAAGAAACTCGATATTGCATAATTAGAATAACACTGCTTTATCTTTAACACTGCTTTATTAATAGATTTTTCTTATGGGACAGGGGACGCATGTTATTTTGGTATAGTAAATTAAAATAGCTACAATCACAATTTATTTTTTAATTAGTGCTTTGACATGAGTTTCATAAATACATACAACAAACAACGCTTAAACCACCCATTATCAATGTCAGTAATTATAGAACTATGCGTGTTTTACAACTTTTATTAAAACAGGTTACATTTGTTAAAACATTATAATTAACAATAAGTTTTTGATGTGTAGGTAACATCTTTCCTCTTCCTCTCGGTGTGGAAGTAATTTTTTGAGAAGAGACGGATGTGTAGCAGGAAACTTGCTTTGACCAATGTGCGCGTGCTATTCGATATGACCAATGAAGGCGCACTATTTGATTTGACCAATGAGCACGCGTAGCGCTAGAGTTGGCCGTCAGCTGTTAGGTGAGATGTTAGATATTGCACATTATATGCGACTACTGCAAAACTCGCGTTTTTTTCTTCATTTTATTTTATTTTATTTTTTGAGGGATAACAACAGCTGCAATTCTTAACTATACCTTACTGAAGCACATTCATACCTTATAAGATACACCTAATTGTGCTAAGAGCGTTAAACCAAACAAATAAATAAAACGTTTTATACAAACAAACCATTACGCCATAAAATCACTAATGACTCATAGCAGCAGTAATTTCGAAATGAAATGAAATGATATTTATTTCTGCAAGTACATCTATTCAGATCGGTCGGTCAGACAAGTCGGACTTTACAGACTCACTCTGAGAAAAAACGCCGAAACAAACCACAGAGGTGTCCATTTTTTTTAAGTCCATGTACAATGTTAAAGAGAACATGTGAGTGCGGTATAGGGTCTGGGTTGGCCTTTTCAAGAAAGGACACAGTTTTGAGTCGGTCCGTCCATACAGACGGTATACAGGTCCCAGTCATCGTGTAGCTTAACCGATATGGTCAGGATCAACAAACCGGAACAAGAGACTACCGCCGGACAGTTACAAGTTTCAGTTAACTATACTGCCATAAGCAAATAACTATAAAACACTATTTTACACGCTAACACTGTAGAATTTATAAATGTTAAACATTACAGAATAAATACACCACAAATAACGAGTTGGCTCTCTGAATTTTAATGGTAATGTATTTAATACAGATGTTTTACTGTGATCTTAACATTTATAAATCAAATCCTTTTAAGTTAAATCTTATGGATAAAAATTATCAGATGAGTGTTTGAGATGACTGTCAGTCAAGTCAAGTCAAATCAACATATATTAAACGTCAAAACGATAGTCGCGGTACGATTCGGTTAGTTAAAAAAAGACATTGCGAAAAATCGGTTCGTGGAAAGTTCATACGAATACGTTCATGAATTTCATACGCGAAGCTATAGGCTTATTGCTGGCGAGAGCGAAAAAAGGAATGACAACAAACATAAGATTCACAAAAGCCGTAATCAATTTTAAATACCGCCAGTGACTGGACATCATTAGTGGACACGTATGAAAATCATTACAGAACACCGGAGGATATCTGTGCCTAGGCGTCCACACCAGACGTATGCTAGTATAGTCTGGTATAGTCCTTATGCTAGTAGAACTCACGGTGCTGTGGGAAACGAACATCCCCAAAAACCACGCTTAAAAACGAACAAGTACTTTGACTTAACCAACGAAGTAACTAAAAATGGTTATGCCGTTGCGATGAATGCTGTGGAAATGGGTGCGAGGGCTATACCCTCTATAACCAGCTTAAAGACCTGGGATTGCCAAAAGCTTTAGTAAGCTCTTTTCTTGAATGAATATCCAAAGCGGCATTGGGCGCAAGGAGTACTCCCTAAACCTATATCTGGATCGCAAGTCGTTGTCGAAGTCGCACGGTGAATCCATGGAACGCTTAGAAATAGGTCTTTTTGATCTGGACTTTCTCAGCCTGTACAAGATGTTGATTTGAAGATATCAAAACATTAAGTTAATAATGGAGGACAATTCTGGCTTATTATAATTGCAGTCAATGATTTAGGCGAAATAATTTGTTGTAAACGTAGAATTCTACCATTTTCTAAGCTACATTATATTAAAAAACTGTGCAAAAGAAATGAGCTTAAATTTGTTTCTAGCAAAGTATATAAAACAACAGTCAAACAACACGTTATTTTGTCTAATTAAATAATCTATACAAATAAATAAAATTGGAGTGTATGTTTGTAATATTAAAATAACCGCTTTTTACTAAATGCATATGCATGTTTACACGGTACATATGGCAAAATAATTTTTTTTTCAATTTTTGTCTGTCTGTCTGTCTGTCTGTTTGTTCCGGGTAATCTCTGGAACGGCTGGACCGATTTTGACGGGACTTTCACTGGCAGATAGCTGATGACATAAGGAGTAACTTAGGCTACTTTTTTTAGACTAGCTTCGCCCCGCGGCGTTTCCCGCGTTTAGAAC